TACAGGATCCTATTCCTGTCTCAGGATTGTTATATGATTCCAAGGGCAAATATAGGATCCTGTACCTGCTCCAGGTTATCCTATACTTGTCCCTCAGAATATGGGATCCTGTACCTGCTCTATGATATCCTGTATCTGTCTCTGGGAATATGGGATCCTATACCTGGTCCAGGATTGTTATATGATTCCAAGGGCAAATATAGGATCCTGTAGCTGCTCCATGATGTCCTGTACCTATTCCTGGGAATATGGGATCCTATACCTGCTCCAGGATTGTTATATGATTCCAAGGATAAATATAGGATCCTGTACCTACTCCATGATATTCTATATCTGTTCCTGGGAATATGGGATCCTGTATCTGCTCCAGGTCGTCCCATACCTGTCCCACAAATACAGGATCCTGTACCTGCTCCATGATATCCTGTACCTGTTCCCGGGAATATGGGATCCTGGACCTGCTCCAGAATCACTATATGATTTCAGAGCAAATATAGGATCCTGTACCTGTTCCAGGTTATCCTATACTTGTCCCAGGAAATACAGGGTCCTGTTCCTGTCTCAGGATTGTTATATGATTCCAAGGGCAAATATAGGATCCTGTACCTGCTCTATGATATCCTGTACCTATTCCTGGGAATATGGGATCCTGTACCTGCTCCAGGATTGTTATGTGATTCCAAGGATAAATATAGGATCCTGTACCTGCTCCATGATATTCTATATCTGTTCCTGGGAATATGGGATCCTGTACCTGCTCCAGATTATCCTATACCTGTCCCAGGGAATATGGGATCCTGTATCTGCTCCAGGATCACTCTATGATTCCAGAGCAAATATAGGATCCTGTACCTGTTCCAGGTTATCCTACACTTGTCCCTCGGAATATGGGATCCTGTACCTGCTCCATGATATCCTATATCTGTCCCTGGGAATATGGGATCCTATACCTGGTCCAGGATTGTTATATGATTCCAAGGGCAAATATAGGATCCTGTACCTACTCCATGATATTTTATATCTGTCCCTGGGAATATGGGATCCTGTACCTGCCCCAGGATATCCTACACCTGCCCCACATGTCCCAGCAACAGGAGCAGGATCCTACAGCAGGAATGAAGTCCTGCACCACCAGGGAACCCACAAAAATCAACACAAAGGGGATTTTTTTTTTCCGGGGAAGCCCCAAAAACCCCCTTTCGGAGGCAACAACCGTTGCAAAAAATCCCCTAAAACTCCCCCCACCCCGTAAATCCCCGAGGGACCCTGATTTTTTAACAAACCCCCGTTTTTGGGGGACAAAAATCCCTCATCTGGCACGGCTAGAGCTGGGAAATCTTCATCTTCTCCATCATCACCATGGTCCAGCACCAACGTGGGGTGGATTTGGGTTAAAAGGGGATTTTTTCCCTATTTTTTGGGGTACAAAGGAATTTTTCCCCTATTCTTTTGGTTTGAAAAAGAGGAGTTTTTTTCCCCTATTTTGGAGGGTTGCAGAAAAATTTTTACCCTATATTTTTGGGGTAGAAAATGGATTTTTTCCCTATTTTCTGGAGGCAGAAAAGGGATTTTTTCACCTATTTTTTTGAGCGGTAAAAGGATTCCCCCCCCCCTTTTTTTTTTTTTGTGTTACAAAGGTAATTTTTCCCTATTTTTCTGAGTTGAAAAGGGATGTTTTTCCTTATTCTTTGTCTTGAAAAGGTATTTTTTTTTCCCCTGTTTCTTGGGTTGAAGTGGGGTTTTTTCCCCTATTTTTGGGGGTACAAAGGCAATTTTTTCCCTATTTTTGGGGGTACAAAGGCAATTTTTTCCCTATTTTTTGGGGTACAAAGGCAA